TAGCTACAAGATGAGTTGCGGCTGGTTTATAATTGGCTAAATGGCTCTAAGCGCTAATGCTGTGGGTCAAAAGTTTAGGGCCACTTTTTAGTTCAAAAATCCCCAACGCTAGATGGCGCTGATCCAAATAATTATTACTATACTTGTGGTAGAGCCAATTAGTCAATTATAAACCAGCCGCAACTAATATGATAGATAGACAATGAAAAATTGACGTTGTTTGTGTTGTTTGCGGCAAGTTTACTGTTTATGTTTTATCTAAAAATGTAGACTATTCATAGACACTACCTAGGATAAAAATAATTTAATTGCTGAAAGTGTGTGCACGATCTTACTCTGATAAGTTTTAATATTATAACTAATAAATATAATAATTACTACAATTTTTTAAATTAGCAGTCTCATTGTAGGGTGATGGAAATTGTCTTATGCATACGTTTTTGGATGATAAATAAACAAGAGTAGTAGTTTTATATTAATTTCTTTAATTATTAAATGTCGCTTGTCACAGCCAATTTTGATTGCGTTCTTTTAACACTTGCATATTTTGCACATAGCAACATATTATCAAAGATCCTTATTCATCGTGTGTATCTATAGTATGTACTGTATACACAGTTTTTTCATTTTGTATATATAAAACAGGTAACTGTATACCACCACTGGTATGAAATAAATAATAAATTTTACAATGATTAACAATGTTAAAACAGTATGACATCAACTTTTAATATATAGTAAAATCACATTTGTCCTGCAGTAGTTCAGTTGTAACCATTAGGATTTTTTTGCTGCCAGTTCCATGTGTCTGCACCTACAATTATATGTAAATAATTGGTATTTTTTAATAATACCATTAATCATGAATTGATAAAAGAGTCTGTATTAAACTAATTTGTATAAGCTTACACATGTCATCAATATTCTTGACTGCAACCCAATCCAGCAATTTTTGTGCTAAGCTTGCATCAGAGTAACTAGAAGCAATATCACCCGATCTTCTGTCAACAATTTTATATGGAATTTTTTTGCTCGAAGCCTTTTCAAAAGCATTTATTACTTCAAGCACTGAATAACCGTTTCCACTTCCAAGATTAATTGCTTGAAAACCAAGAGGATTTTTCGTTTTCTGATAAATGAGTGCTTTTACATGGCCTGATGCTAGATCTAAAATGTGGATGTAGTCTCTAACTCCTGAAAACAAAAGTAAAACAATATTTTTTTTTTTATTCAACTTGATCACTGTAGGTAAAACATATATATATACATATATATATAATACTCATACCAGTTCCATCAGGAGTTTCATAGTCTTTGCCATAAACGGATAGAAACTCTCTTTTTCCCACAGAAACTTGAGCGATGAATGGCATTAAATTGTTAGGGATTCCATTTGGATCCTCTCCAATTTGGCCTGATTGATGGGCTCCTACTGGATTGAAATATCGCAGAGATATAACAGACCATGCCTAGATAAGTATTTTAATAGTAAAATTAAGTCATCTCACTGATAATAAAAGTTAATAATCAAGCAGATATCATTCATACCTTATCTGAACTGCACAAGTCCTTCAAAATTTCTTCTACCATAAATTTAGTTTTTCCGTAAGGATTAGTGCAATTGCCAGTTTCCATTTCTTCTGTTAAGGGCAATTTTTTTGGTACACCATAAACAGTAGCACTGCTTGAATAAATGATTCGTTTGAGATTATATTCTCTCATAACTTCGAGCAAATTTAATGTCCCAGCAACATTGACTTTGTAGTATTCCAGTGGTATTGTACATGATTCTCCAACAGCTTTCAAGGCAGCAAAATGAATGACGCAAAAGAATTTGTGCTACAAGTTTAAAAATGTATTGAAGTAATATTTAGATGACATACTGACAAATATATAAAATCTATTTTAATTACCTTTTGAAAAATGTCATTCAATGATTTTTTATTTGTTATATCACAGTCAATAAAGATGACTTGCTTGTTTGCCAATTTCTCAACTCGTAGTATACATTCAGGTTTTTCATGTCCTTTGCCTAAAATGTACATGGAAATATTTTTCATTGAATAGTTAAAAGTTGTATGATACCAATTGAAGCAAAACAATGTAATATATATTTAATCTATAATATATTATTGACTACTGAAATGAGCTATATACATATATTTTTTTTATTACCTCTGAAAGCATTACTCAGATTATCAATAACCACCACCTGAAAATCAGCATTAAGTAGTTCCAGAACAGTATGTGAACCAATATAACCAGCACCTCCTGTTACCAGAATATTTCTTGTCTCATCTGCCATTTCTATGACACTTTCAGTCGTAGCTTATCACTATTGAATAATTGATTAGGTGTTAAAAAATATTAGTTGCTATATATATTTACAAGTGTTAGTTACTACATTCAATACATAAGTTATGAATTTATCAACTGTTAAACTTATTTTAAGGTAAAATAAGAAAGAAATAATCAAATATTAAGTTAACAAATACCAGCTTAGGTAGTTAGTGAGCGAGAGAAGTGATAAAATTATTATGAGCTCATAAATTACTCAGAGCAACTCTTTACCAAAGAACGAGGAAATAGATAAGCAGAAAAAGGATGACAAACCTCGCACAGTGAGATCCACTGATATACTAACTCTTGTTCTTATCTAAAAACTTAACGAGGCACGCGGATGTGATGTCGACCACGGAACTATTTTCGTGTCAGGGCATAAAATTACACATTATCGTGAGTATTCGTAGTTTGAAGTCGTTAGCCAATTGAGAACCAGATACATTAACGATGATTCGTTGATAATGCTCATATAATACTCATAATGAAAATTGTTGTTTAAAAATAACCACGTTCTGGTGCCTATATAAAGATTCAAGTTCGGTAAGACGCACTAGTGGTACGATTAGACATTGATGACGATAGAAAACAAGACAAATGCAGTTGTTGCTCTCGATTTTCGTGATTTTCCTGAAACTCACGGTTATTGTCTGATAAGCCACTTTTTTGTACAATATTGTGTGATATCTGGTCCATTTTCAAGTTTTACATAAACATGTATGTAGTTAAAAAATTGAAAGATATAACAACAAATCCGAGCGTTACATATTATATATTATTTACATTAAAATACTTATGCTTCTGCTATTTAGTAATTTTCCATGTCGTCTGCTACTTTGCTATCGAATAACAAGTCAAGGTCGACCTTTACTATCGATTAGCAACTCTATTTTGATGCCATCATCGATCTATCGAGACAATTTGAAGTTTGAAGCCAGCCGTTATCCCGCAAATCCCAAGCCTGACAGGGCGCAAGATGTAAACAATGAGCGAAAGTGTGTAAATATAAATGCGAATGATAATTGCAAGGACATTTACGTGATGCTGAAGACGTAAGGATGGGCAAAAAAATAACGACAGTGCCGTACTGCGAATGCTGAAGTTAGAATTGTTGAATGAGTACGTGGTAGGGTTATGTTCGTGTATCTTTATTTAATGTAATTTTTTTCCGTTTTTTCCTAACGTTAGTATATTTTTATAGTTTTCTATGTTAAAGATTAAAGCAGCCTATCGATGCAGCTGCCAATATCGATGAAAAGAAAAAATTCGGCATGCTGGAGCTGAGTAGAATGTGTTTGTTTTCAGCAGGGGAGCTTCCCCCCTTTAAAAAAAGGGGTGCAGCGTCACCCCTTTCTCCATAAAAAAGGGTGACTGTTAAAAGGGTTGCCTCACTGCACAAGTATTGGCTGTGCCTTTTTTACTTCATAGGGAATGTATATACCTTTACTAACAGTATTTTTCAAAATACAATTAGCACATGTGAGTATTGTGTTGAAGTTTAGTTGAAATATGACATAAAAATTTATTTTTAACTCTATTTTATAACAAAATTTGTTAATAGGTACCATAGTCTAATAGAACATCCAAAAGGACAATTTTTTTACTGGCCTCCAGGCAAAATACAAGGGCCCACCCCTTTTACCAAGGGATTTAGATGAGAAGTAAGGGAACGGAGAACATTGGCTCAACGGAGATGGAGATTGTGGGTTTGCATCTCTGTCCCGCCACCCTGAGAGTAGCTCTTCGGCTAGAGAGCAGCCAATAGCAGCTTCATGCTCTATATAGGATTCTATGTCAGTTGGAGTCTTCGTCTACAGGGTAAAAACCAGGAGGGTGCTTTAGTTATACGTAGACCTCCATAGGCTTTGCTTCGGTGGCATACTTGTCAATTATTATTAGATTTTTGAAGGGTGTTCCTATATGAGCAGTAAATCAGTGATATGATTATCTTATTTCTTAATTTTTTGTAAAAAATGTGCAGTATTAAATTTTTTTTGTGAAAATATAGTGAAGTACAGTGAATTAGATATCCTTATGATTTAAATTTTTAATTACTCTTATAAACTTATTCAATTATTACAAGTTCTATCAAGTATTAACAATTTATTTATGTACTTGATTACATAAACTACATTTTAAATTAATTTTCAAAGAGATTTTCATTGATTGAAATAAATATGTTTGTGCTCAACAAAATAATCAAATTCACGTATATTAGACACACCCCTTTTTTAAGGGGAGACTAGCAGAGATGGTTGACCTTTTATTCTCTTGTTACTTGAAAAGTTTTCATTTTTTGCATTTGAGATCATAGTAGATATCTTTTATGAATTATAGTTGAGGGTAACTTGAATGGTTTATCATAATCAAATACAAAAGCGTTCAATTTAATATTCGTCGGTGATTTCATTTAACTTCAAAACGAGAGTGGGGTGAAAGTAAAAAAGGGTAGACTGTATTACGCTTTTCTTCCCCTTTGGTATACACACAGCTACAAGTATCCAATGGGTGGAGCATCTTTTCCCTCCCATTTTGCATCTTTAAGAGCTGAAAACTCAACAGTCTGTCTACAGCTTCCCAATACAACACTACATCTTTTTTTTTTCAATCCTTATTTTACAGTTCATTTTTTTCAAGATTAATAGCATTTATTTTTCTTTACCTTGTAATAAAGTGAGTTTTTACTACATTTTAGTGTGAAAAGTACTGAAAACTGCTAATGAGGGAAGAAGGAATGATGGAATTTATTTTCACTTTTGTCCTACCAGGTAACTATATCATGTGTTCTATTAGTTACTATTCTTTTATTTGTTTAAGTCGGATGATGTCTTGTTACTTGAATAGTTTATAGTGATGAAAATTTGTATTTGAAAGGCAATATAATTTTATAAATTTGATTTACAAAGATATTTGCGGTTTTGTCACATTCCTATCCTCTGTTTTCAGTGTTACTCATAAAATTATTTCACTATTCATAGTATCTAGTACTCATATTTGTACACAAAAAAAATTTTGAGTTTATTTCTAAGACATAATGAATTACGAAAAAAATTGGCATGAAAAAGAAATGAAATTTTTGTTACTACAATGTTATACGTCCGAAGTTTACATCATACTTTTGTGTACCTAGAATAGCGCCATCAAATTTTTATCACGTCATGTTTAACACATGTTTACGATTTGTCTGTTTGCAAATTAAATTATGATTTTTTATGGAATAAGAACATTTTTTGCGTTTAAATTTATTCAGACCGCTTTTTTTTGGGAAATAAATTTTTTTTTTCATATGCATCTTTTACTCAAGATAAATAAATAGTTTAGAGCAACAACTATATTTTCGTTGAAAATTAAAAATATCGTTAAATGTGCAAAAATTTTTGTTTTCTTTGCAAAGAAAGTACATCGCTTTCCTAAAAATCAAAACGGATTTTTACTTATTATTTACATATTTTTGTGCAACGTTTAAGGATTAAAACAAGGTTTACTAAATTCAATTAGGGTAGAAATAAAAATTTCGACAAACACGTCATTAAGTTGCTCGCACAATTGATCGTGTTTATAAGTAAAATTTATAAGAAAAAAAACTTTTTTCCCCACTTAAAAAATACACTTCTTTGACACGTGTTTTGATAAGATTAGCATGAAATATTTGATCATTTCAATATAAGGCTACACGATACTACATTCAGACTTTGACAGTTGTTTTATCGATTTTTACACACTTAAAAAAAATTTTTTTCCCCAAGTACAGTGCATTCTTTTAGTTAAAAATTTTTTCCTACGTCAATATGATGTTGACAAAAATTTCTGTGTTTTTTGGCAGCTAAATGCAATACACTTTAGATATTAAAGTTTCTTGTAAAGTATATGTAAATTACAATATTTAAGTACTTTTTCAAATACTTTGATTCTTTTTTTACTGAATTTTATTTCGTTTATACTGTAATGCATTAATTGTAGCTGAAAAAAATTTTTTTAGGCACTACGTTATAAATATTACTTAACAAAATTTTTTTTAGAACATATAATTAGTAAAATTTTAAGCAGAAAAGTATATTTAAAAAAAATGACAAAAGTATCCGTGCCCAAGTCTAACTATACTTAGAAAGTTATAGAACCCCTTTAAAAAGGGGGTTTTTTTTTTTTTTTTTTTTCAAATATCTTGAGTGGATTGAATTTTGTGAATTTATTTTAGATGAAATAAAAAAAAAATAATAATAAATAAAAAAAAAAAAATTGGAGTTAATGCCAATGAAGTAAAATTTGCTCAAAAGTACATTTACTGGTACGTACGTTCCACTGATAATAATTTTTTATTAAGAAAGTATTTAAATATTGGGCATTTTGTCTCGGTGATTTAATTGATACTGAAGTTTACCATTAAAAATTTTTTGGCAACATTCCACGTTTTATCATAGGAACGCCACTTCTTCTTCAAGCCAATCTCATAACCATCACATGGTGTTCTCACCATCCAATTGGTGTCGCCACATGGTACGTTTTAATCGTGCTACAAATACTTGTAACAACTTTAAGTGCAAATTAAATATTGTCTGATGAAAATGAGATTCGACTAAATAATTCGCGAGAAAAATGCGGGTATAATTTATTTACTTTGCATACGAAAGTTTGTCAACATATACATTTAAAATCACATCTGAGTCTGTGTGATAAAAAATCTTTGACCGTAAACACTTAGGGACATTTTTAAAAATATACAAGAAAAAAAATTCTAACATACAGTTTGAAAAACGAAATGTGAGCTTCCCATCACTTTACGCGCAACATAAGTATACACAAAGAGAATCTCCTTACTCGCTGGTCGAGTCGAAAGGCGTTTGTATACATCAAGCTGCTTCAAAGCTCCCCGAAATTGTGGGCTTTGTAGAGTTTGCTTTGCGTTTCGAGTATAGATACACGTAAAAATCTACAAAAAACCACGAGATAACTGTAATTGAAATTTGAAGCAAAGATTTTTGCCTGGTAGATTTGAGATTCCATCTCACGTAAGCGGACATTTTTTGAAGCTTAGTCTGTCAAATTTCGTTTGCCCAGAGGCACACTTTATATTTTCGTTCAGAAATAAAGTTAGTAACGAGTGGCTACTTGAAAAAAAAAAAAAAAAAAAAAAAAAAAAAAAAAAAAAAAAATATGTTCAGAGAAAATTATGCCTCTAGTAACAGAAGTTAAAGCT